ATCCGTTTCGCTTAGGTGATCCTGTTCGGCTCCCCCTACAAAAAGATTTCTTGGCATTGGCCTAAAGTCATTCAAGCCGGGCTCAGATACGTGAGCGTCCTCCTGTTCGTCCTTTTCATTTCTTGGAGGGCGGCCTCCTGTAAAGGTACGGACCATTTTGTCTTTCAGCAGGTTGAGTCACACAACTTCTTGTTCGAGGTTTCCCATAGACGGCGCCAAATGTTTGGGCAGCTTCGTAGTCCAACACTGTTGAAGTCCTCAGCTGCTTTCACACCTGAAAATCCCGAGGTTGTTTCCTCGGGAAAACACTCCAACGCTCAAGTTAGCAATACTCAATACTTTAGAGAGAGAGGCTCTCAAGGAGTAATTGCAGAGAGAGAAGCGTAGAGATTAATTACCTCCCTTGTTGGTGGTTGGGGGGTATTTATACCCCCAAATGCTGACATGCATCCATACATGTAAGTAGCTCATTGGCCCACGTGGTACTACTCACGTGGGTATGTCTCCTCCTTTTGGGTCTGTGTGTGCATAGTTGGACCTGTTATATGTGGCCCAAAGTGGGCGTTGGGCCTAATCCCAACATTACTCCCCCCTAAGCGTTTGGTTGACGAACTGGATGGGAGTCTTGTTAGCACGGCGTTTGGCCCTAAAGATGAGGAGGGATACTTTGCGTACATGAACGACTTCACGTATGGACGGCCTGACCGGCTTGAAGGCATCGTGCCTGGCCAGATGTGCCAGTGTATGCCGGCCTTATTGCGAGCAGGCGTGAAGAGTTGGTTTTACGACCGGTCGAGCAGCCGCGCAAGGGTGACCTTGCATGATGAATTCCCTACGGCGGAGCGGGGGCGAGCGGATAGTGAACGAGCTGAACACACTGACCCTGGACGGGCAGAGAATAGCGGCCACACTCGTTACTTCGATATAGGTCCCTGGGATACAGAGTAGTTCTGAGGAAGTTGGTTACAATCTAACGCTCGACGCCCGAGCCTAAGGTGAATCCATGATTTGTGCGACCTGATCTCCAGAGGTTTTTCGAACTTAGGATCTCTTAAGGGATCTCTGATTAGTAACGAGCTGATTTCTCGAGATTTTTAAGATCTGTGAGGAGATCGCGGATTTGTTATGAGCTGGTCCCTTGGACTTTTCAAAATTGAAGTTTGTCGCGATCTGATCCTTCGGATTTTTCAACGATTGTGGCGAATCTGTGAGGAGATTTGCTCAGAGCGTTTGGTATTCTTCTGCTTTTAAGAGATACCCTTTTGCCTCCCCACAATAAATGCTGGCTCAGCATTTGAGGGGACGTGACAGCTGCAAACGGCGCGTTTTGGATTTTTAACCATAAATGGTCGCCACGTGGTCGTGCTGAACTGGGGGGCCATAAACACGCGTACGGTGTTTATAGGGCGCTATCTGAACGGCCAAAACAAAACAAACAAAACAAACAGTTTGTTACGTTTTTCATTTCCTTACACAGCACATTCGTACGTTTTCAGAGAAGACTGCAGAGACATTCACGGCCATTTTCCCAGATTTCCAACGAAAGCACCTTCAACTATTCAGGTAAAAATGGCTTCTTTCCACGATGCGCGAGAGTTCCGGGGTAACCAAGGTGAAGAGGAGGATGTCGACGTAATATCCGTGGAGCCTATCGCGATGGTAGTGCCACCGGAGTTGCAGGATTCGCCCAGAACCGCCGCGCCTGAGAGTAACACCAGTTCGAGCGTAAGTGGTGGCTGTGAGGGTCACCAACCTTCAACCTCCAGTGATTCGCCCACAGAAGAGACACCCAGTGGGGCAGAGGGTGTTGAGGAGGTTGGTTGCAGTGCACCGGTTACGAGTGCAGCAGCGGAGGTGGTGGTGTTCGAAGGGTGGGAGAGTAAAGTTTTGAGTGGACGACTGTACAACCTTCGTAAGGCTCCAAAAACCCTCCCGGCCGGCTTCAAGTTCAAGGCGGTGCTGCATCACGAGGTTGCAGATGGCGCGGCCACGGTAAAGGGGTACAAGAAGCTGGAGGAGATGGTGAGGCGATTCCAGATCCCCAGAACCATTCTGATCCGAGCTGGGACACCAAATGAACGGGCGTGTTCAGTGTCACGGACGGGCTGGGTGCTAGTATACGTAGACCATTTTGACGCCGGTCTACGTTTTCCTCTGCTCGGACTAATTTTTGATGTCCTAGCAGAGTACGAGCTGGCCCTTTCGCAACTTACTCCCAACAGCATAATGTTCATCATAGGCTTTATGCTGTTGTGCGAAAGGCTGGGGATGCCTGCAAAGGCGGTGGTCTTCAGGTCGCTCTTCCTATGCCGTTTGTGCCCGTCGACCAGTGGGACGAGGTGGTACTACATCTCGGGCAGGGAGAAGATGATGATATTCACCAACATTAGAAATAAGGTGGCGAGGTGGAAGAGACAGTTCGTGTTCGTGCGGGATACGCGAACTGACAGGATTAACAACGAGCTCGCCGCCCGTTTGTCAGAGTGGCGTACGCCGAACACATACATGAACTATCCCCAGCTGACCAGTGGTGATGTCGACCTGAAGAATCGGCTGCTCGACTATGTGAAGGCGAGGGGGTTGGTGGATTTGGAAACCTTGGTTACCCTGGAGCAGATCGCACTTCACGGATTTGTCGACGTGGCAAATCTACACTCCCAAGGTATATCTTTATATAATAGTATAGTTTCTAGCCGATCTGAGTCTTGTGCTTTTGTTTGTGCAGGAGTCATGAGCAGCATCCTTGAGCGACAACGCCAGCGAGCTTAAGGCTCAAGGGGCCGGGGCGCTGGGTTTAGCTCCCAGTGTCAATCCCGCTTTGACAAGCGGCCACCTGCTGCACCGAGGCGCAACTCGCAGCACCGGAGTTCCAGCTCGGCACAGAGGCCGCGTGCCGAGCAGAGGACTGAGCCTTCACCCTCCAGCTCTATGAGGCGCGCGAGGGAGGAGTCTGACGCAGAGGATGACATTCCACTCATTCGGCGTAGGACAAGCACCGGCTTGTAGCCCGCCCCTGCCGCTGCTGCGCGTCCTGCTGGTGTGCACCAAGCGCCAGCTTGCGAGGTTGCAGAGGCAGCACCAACCTCATCGTCTGTAGTGGGGCCAAGGATTGCATACCCGAACGGCTTCAGTTACGCCCGGACTGAGTGCTAGACTGCTATGCTGCAGGGTATGCAGAACTTTGTGCCCCCTGCAAACCGGCTGCGTGCAAAGGGGCACGTCCAGCAGCATGGAGGACATGCTGCGCTAATTAAGCTGATGGATGTAAGTACACTTGGCGAGCTCGGTACTATGTTTTACCTTGTTTTTACTATAAACTGACGAGTGAACATGTATTACAGGCATTCAGCTACACTGTCGCACTCTTCGAGTGCGAGCAGGGAGCCAGGGCGCAGAACAGCGAGCTGCAACACAACTGTAAGCAGTTGGCATCTGAGAAGGCCAGCTTGGCTGACGAGGTCAGCTGCTTGCAGAGCTCGGAGATGGCAAACCGAGCGGCGTCAGCTGAAAGCCGAGCTGACGAGCTGGCTCGCAAGGTCCTTGAGCTGAGGGAGGAGCTGGACAGAGCTCGGGCTGAGAAGGGGAGCAGCATTCAAGCTGCGAAGGATGAGGTCGGCCGTGCAGAGGACCGGGCCAAAAAGGCAAAAGCTGAGAGAGAGAACTCTGCACGAGCTGAGCAGCCTGAGGGAGAGGGTCTCACTGGCGGATCAGCACGTCGCCCAGGCTGAGGCGTCCTTGGAGAGGACTAAAAGACTCCACCAGCGCGACGTCTGCTTTGCCCGTGCACAGGGGGCTGAGTGGCTGGTGGGGGCAGAGATGTTCCAGGACGCCGTGGCTGTGGCTGCAGCCAACACCACCACTGACATCTTCAATGAAGTTCGTGGGAAGGTGTTGGGAGTCCGAGCAGACTTCCCCATTGGCGAGCTGGCCTGCTTCGAGGGCGAGGAGATCGATGCTGACGGGAAGAGCCTCGCCCAGCCAGCTGACACTAGGGTAAAACTGAAGTGGGAGCTCAACGAGGAGGGGCTGCCCGTTTCGCCCCCCTCTGTCGCTGATGAGGGAGAGGACACGGAGGGGTTGCCGAGCTTCGATGCTTGGGTGGCAGACCCCCATGATGTGCCTGCTGAGCCTTCCAGCACTCCTCCCTGTGCTCCGCCTCAGCCCGTCTCGACCGCTGCTCCAACTCCTCCTGCTCTCTCGCCACTTCAGTCTCCTGCTCACTCTTCCCAAGATCGGTCATCGCCAGCTCGATCTGCTGCTGCGCCAAACGACGCATCCATCCCCGTCGACCTAACGGATGAGTAGTTTAGGATCTTTTGCTTTGCTTTTTGTATTTCTTCTTGTCTTTTATGTTAATCGAACATTTGTACAAGAATATTCATGAAATACAACTCCAATATTTGTTTTTGAAATTGTTGTGTATTGCTCTTGTATTTTTGTGTAAATCGATGAAGTCATTTGCAATATGTACTCCATGTGTAAGAATTCAATGATCAAATGCAAATTCGAAACTTTCCTTTGAAAATTTCTGTATTGAATTTTCTGTAAATCATCATCTACAAATGATCCATAACGACCTGAACACTAGTGACATACATGTTAACTATAAAACTTTCTAAGGTTATGTATGTTCCAAATGAATGGTATTGGACGACCTTGTGCATCTGCTAATTGGTAACACCCAGGTCGTTTAACACAAATAACTATATAAGGACCTTCCCAATTAGGAGCGAGCTTGCCCATGTGCGAATGAGCATTGGTTAGTCCTGCTTTGCGTAGGACCAGATCGTCGACCTGAAACTAGCGAGCTCGAACCCTCTTATTATAAAATTTTGCCACACGACTCTGATGCACCATATTTCTCATTCGAGACATCTCCCTGACCCCTTCCACAAGGTCCAAGTTCTCTCTCAATAGTCGCTCATTGTCATCATCGTCGTGCCAACCTACTCTATCAGAGGGCAATCCGATCTCCACTGGGATAACGGCTTCAGCTCCATAAGCAAGGCTGAATGGGGTTTCGCCCGTGGCCGAGCTGGGCGTGGTGCGACAAGACCAAAGCACTTTATTGAGCTCGTCAACCCAATTAGAACGCGCGGTTAAAACACGCGTCTTGAGTCCCTGCAAGACGATCTTATTGGCGGACTCGGCCTGTCCGTTTGACTGAGGAGTATATACAGACGTCAAGGAGATCTCAATGCCATAGTCGTTGCAGAACGACCTCAGTGCGGCTGCTCGGAACTGCGGACCACTATCGGCGATGATCCGTTTAGGTATGCCAAACCTGCACAATATTGAATTGAACAAGAATTCTTCTATTTTCTTTTCTGTTGTCATGGACAATGGTTTAGCTTCTATCCATTTGGTGAAGTAATCCACCACGACAACGAGGCAAGTGCAACTTCCTTTGCCTTTCACAAAAGGGCCAAGCAGGTCGATTCCCCATTGAGCAAAAGGCCAGGGAGATGAGAGTGATGAGAGCATTTCCCCTGGCATGTGAATGTCATCAGCATTGAACTGGCAGGTCGGGCACTTTTTGACATAGCTCTGTGCATCCTCCACCATAGTTGGCCAATAATACCCATGCCTTAGGAGCTTCTGAGCTAAGGTTTTGCCTCCAATATGTGTGCCACATACTCCTTCATGAATCTCTCTCACAGCATATTCAGCTTCATAAGGAGTGAGACAGCGTAATAGGGGCATAGAGGCTGCCCGCTTGTAGAGCTGATTATCTATTAAAGTGAAATGTGCCGCCCTGCGTCTAACCAGCTTTGCAACGGACTGATCTTCAGGTAGCTCGCCACTTTGTAAATAATTTATGATCAAGGTGGTCTAGCTCTGTGTAGAGGGGTCTGTACTCAGCAGTTGGCACTCGGCTGCGAGATCGGTGTAGCTTGGGGCGTCGAGCACCTCGACGATTGTCGACCTCTGAGGGTTAAGGTCCTGCGAGGATGCCAATTTGGACAGCTCGTCGGCTCGGTGGTTATCTGCTCTTGGTATTTTATCAATTTGAAAAGAGACAAACATTGACTTCAATCTACTAACCACAGAGGCATAACGATCGAGCTGGGGATCCCTGACTTCACAACTGCCATTCACTTGGCCCACGACGAGCTGAGAGTCGCTAAAAACTTGAATGCTTTGCACCTTCAGCTCGGACGCCAGCTTTAGTCCGTAAATGAGGGCCTCGTATTCTGCAGCGTTATTAGTCGTCTGAAACTTAAACCTCAGTGCGTGCTCAGACCTAAAGCCATCTGGGCCCACTAACACAGCCCCAGCACCCGATCCTTCAATGCTAGCGGCTCCATCAACATACAAAACCCAGACTGGGTGCTCAGGTGTTTTTTCTTCCGTAGTTGCTGAAATGCATTCCACCAGAAAGTCTGCAACGGCCTGGCCCTTTATGGTAGTACGCGGCTGAAATTTGAGGTCATATTCACTCAGCTCGACGCTCCACCCAATAAGCCGACCAGAGAGTTCGGGTTTCTGCAGTATTTTTCTCAATGGCAAATCGATGTAGACAACAATCTGATGTGATTGGAAATAAGCCCTCAACTTACGAGCTGTGTAAACCAGGGCAAATGCAGCCTTTTCTGCTAGTGGGTAGTTCTGCTCTGCACCTTGTAAAACCTTGCTCACGTAGCAGATAGGCTTCTGATTCTTATTCTCTTCCCTGAGCAAAACCGAGCTTACTGCCTCTCCTGTAACTCCCATGTATAGGTATAAACTCTCCCCTTCCACAGGCTTAGACAGCAGAGGTGCAGATGCTAGATACTGCTTGAGCTCGTCAAACGCCTGTTGACACTCGTCGGTCCATTGAAAGTGCTTGGGCTCTCGCAAGGCTTTGAAAAACGGTAGGCACCTTTCCGCCGACCTGGCTATGAATCTGTGCAAAGCAACTATACGACCTGTCAAGCGTTGCACATCCTTTACAGTCTTGGGTGGCTCCATCTGCTGAACAGTCAGAACCTTCTCTGGGTTCACTTCAATTCCTTTCTTGGATACCACGTACCCTAGGAATTTTCCTGATTCTACAGCGAACGTGCACTTCAGGGGGTTCAGCTTCATTTGGGCTCGGCGCAAATTTTGAAAGGTCTCACTCAGGTCATCTATATGGTCCTCAGCTCGCACGCTGGTGACTATCATGTCATCCACATACACTTCTATGTTTCTGCCGATCTGGAGCTTAAAGATGATTTGTACCAGCTTCTGATATGTTGCGCTAGCATTTTTCAGGCCAAATGGCATCAACACATAGCAATAGATAGCGTCACCAGCGTAGAAAGCTGTTTTCTCCTTATCGTCCAACAGCAACTGAACCTGATGATATCCTGAGCTGGCGTCAAGGAAACTCATTCGTTCGTGTCCTGCTGCCCGTTCTACTAACTTCTCAACATTGGGCAAGGGATGAGGGTCTTTTGGGCACGCCTCATTGAGGTTGGTGAAATCAATGCACATCCTCCACTTGCCATTTGGCTTTTTGACGAGGACGGGGTTAGATACCCACTCGAAGTATTCCACTCTCCTGATGAAGACTGCCTATAGCAGCTTTTGCATCTCCTCGTCTATGGCAGCTTGCTTCTCTGGGCCAAAAAGGCGACGTTTCTGCACCACCGGCCTTCTGGTGGGATTTGTGCTGAGTTTGTGGACTGTCAACTCCGCCGGGATGCCAGGCATTTCATCAATAGTCCATGCGAACACATCTTGATTAACCCTCAGAAACTCCAGAAGCTCTGCTCGTTCTTCTTTTGTGAGCTTGGTGCCGATCTTGACTGTTCTTTCCGGCACATCGGGGTTTAAAGGAACGGTTTCTACTGGCTCTACCGGCTCTGCTTTCTGCTCGACACCCTCAGGTCTATGCTCAATGTCCGATATGCTCATTGTCTGCTGGCCGGGCTGAGTCGGCCTACTACTTTCAGAGCCTCCAGGGGCTACAGCCGGCTCAACCTTCTTAAACGTATCCTGATAACATGCCCTGGCCATCCTCTGATTCCCCTTTAGCACCCCTACCCCCTGAGGTGTTGGGAATTTCATGTAGAGATGGGGCTGTGAAATAACGGCCTTCAGCTCGCACAGAGTAGCTCTTCCTAATATGGCGTTGAATGCTGACTCCATTTTGACGACCAAGAAGCTGACCGAAGCCATCCTGAAGCGTGGTTCTGAGCCCACATAGATGGGTAAAGTTATGACCCCTTCCACCGGGACGGGCTGATTATCAAACCCGTAAATGGGTCCTTCATATTTCTGTAGCGAGCTCGAGTTCAACTGCATCTTCTGGAAGTAGCTCCAGTAAAGGATATCTGGCGAGCTACTCGTATCAATAAAGACCTTGTTGACGTTATGATTACCTATATGGACCGCTGCCACAAATGGATCTGCGTGAGGCATCATAACGTCGGGCTCCCCGTCTGCTCGCCTATAGTCTGCTGGGCTGAATGTGATAGCGGCATTCTCCCACTCTGCCTCCTCGAACGGCCGCTTCAAGGGCTTGTTTTTGTTGATCGTCATCACCTGGCGGGCATATGCTTTATGGGCCCGGGCACTCTGGCCCCCTGAGTGCATACCACCAGAGATCATATTGATTGTGCCAGATGGCGGAGGTATTCCACCATACCCAACCCCCCTGTGGTCCTTTGGATTCTGCGTAGGTGCTTTCTGTCCTTGCCCACGTCTATTGAACGGGGGTCCCCTGTATGCTCTGTTCGGCTCAGACGAGTACGGACCTGCTTGGTAAGAATTTGGATTATTACCGAGCTGATATCCAGGTGCTTGAGATCGGCCGTACTCTTGCACAAAGTGGGTCTGGGTGGGTTGCCGAACAAAAGGCTTTTGCACATACCCCTCCAATTTCCCATTGCGAGCCAAGAATTCAAGCTCGTCCTTTAGACTCTGACAGTCTTCTGTGTTATGACCGTATACACGGTGATAGTCGCAGTATTTGCTTCTGTCGGCTCGTGAAGAATCGTGCGTTTGTGGAGGGGGTCTCTTGACCTAGTGTTGTATCTGCGCCAATATCTGGGATTGCGACGAGCTCAGGGGGATGTAACTATCATACTTTGGATAGGAAGACGGTTTCCCTCTCTGCTCGCCAACCTTCTGTTTCTTCTTGTCATCTCTGTTTTCAGGCTACTTGGGCTCTTTTCCCTGCTTGTCATCAGCTCGTCTCTTAGAAGATTGAAAATCTTCAGACAGTATGAAGCTTGCCGACCTGTCATTTACTTCATTCCACGACTTGGGTGGATTCTCCAACAGGTCGTCCAAAAACCGGCCAGGCTTCAAGCCATGCAACAAGGCGGATAAGCAAATGGTATCGGGGACGCTATCAATGTCCAAAGTAGCTTTGTTGAATCGTTGCATGTAGTCCCTCAAGGTCTCTCCCTCTTTCTGATGAACCTGCATTAGTTCGATTGCTGTACGTTTAATCTCCCTTTGGCTCACAAATTTGTTGGAGAATAGCTTGGCGAGCTGGGAGTATGAGTCTATGGAATGTCTGGGGAGTTTGTGATACCATCTCCTGGTTGTTGACTTGAGTGTTGCTAGGAACACTTTGCACATCATGGCATCATTGGCATTCTGGATTCTCATGATGGCTTGATAAGTGTGCAAATGTTCATCAGGGTCGCCTGAGCCATCATATGTTTCCAAGTGGGGAATTTTGAATCCCTCTTGATACGACTCTGCCGTAATGGACAGGTTTAAAGGGGCACTATCCAAATCAAGAGTTTGTTGGTGCGACCTGGGACTTTTCAGCTCGTCAATAGACTTTTGCACATCTCGCAGCTGCCTTTCAAGGTCTGCGTTCTTTCTCATCAATTCTTCACTATGCTTGGACGAGCTGGGTTCGTTATTTAGCTTTCCACTTCCCCTTGGCCTGGTCGGCACCACTATGTTGCTTAGAGCGAGGGAATTTCGAGTTGCAACAACCGCAGCTGGTTGTGCATCCCTGTTCAGCAAAGGAATCAGGGGGTCGTCAGGAATTAGACGGGCAAGGATTTTACCCATTGCCATTTCGAGAACTCTGGTTCTCTTTTCGAGCTCGGTTGTCCGAGTAGGTTCTGTTGACCTTTCAGGTCGTTCACGCTGTGAATTGTGTGGTTTATAAGATCTTTGTCTTGTTCTTATTGGAACTTGGAATTGTTCAGGTTGGGTTGCATACCCCGTTGGTGTTCTTTCATCATCATCCGTTTCGCTTAGGTGATCCTGTTCGGCTCCCCCTACAAAAAGATTTCTTGGCATTGGCCTAAAGTCATTCAAGCCGGGCTCAGATACGTGAGCGTCCTCCTGTTCGTCCTTTTCATTTCTTGGAGGGCGGCCTCCTGTAAAGGTACGGACCATTTTGTCTTTCAGCAGGTTGAGTCACACAACTTCTTGTTCGAGGTTTCCCATAGACGGCGCCAAATGTTTGGGCAGCTTCGTAGTCCAACACTGTTGAAGTCCTCAGCTGCTTTCACACCTGAAAATCCCGAGGTTGTTTCCTTGGGAAAACACTCCAACGCTCAAGTTAGCAATACTCAATACTTTAGAGAGAGAGGCTCTCAAGGAGTAATTGCAGAGAGAGAAGCGTAGAGATTAATTACCTCCCTTGTTGGTGGTTGGGGGGTATTTATACCCCCAAATGCTGACATGCATCCATACATGTAAGTAGCTCATTGGCCCACGTGGTACTACTCACGTGGGTATGTCTCCTTTTCTTGGGTCTGTGTGTGCATAGTTGGGTCTGTTATATGTGGCCCAAAGTGGGCGTTGGGCCTAATCCCAACACCTAGCTGGCTCGGGTGTGTGATGACGCCCCTGCGGATGCCTTAACCATCCCGGAGTTGAAAGCATGATGGTGGCGTGGAGTGGGGGAATTTCTCTGCCAAACATGCTTATGATAGTTGTGCCACTCTCTATCCCACTCTAAATATTTGCTCACCTGTTCTTTGTTTCCTTGATGTAGTTAACTCAGCATCACGTTGGTTTTGATTTAAATTAACAGTACCATATTATTGAATTAAAAAGGCAGTATCTATAAAATAAGGACATAAATTTTGTTGAGTATATAAATATTGATCGTTCTAAAGTAAGAACACGATTTTTACATTGATTGAAATTAAGTAAATGATCTTTACATTATTGAAAAATAAGAACACTTTGATTGAGAAATTGAAATGGATATCACAAAATTAGCATCTTTTGAATCAAAATATTATTAGTTCAATCTCCATAATATATATATATTAGTTCAATTGACATATTTAATAATTAGAACAAGTTTTTGATCCGCAAAGATCCTTGTTACAAAACAATCAAAGTACATACCCTTAATTTCGCTTTTGGTGAGAGTTTACTTCCTTATTTTAGATTTTTTTTTCCCAATTAAAAATTGACCAGTACAATGTAACATATATTAAATATTGTAATATAAAGTGATATTAAACATATAGATGAATATAATGTGCTAATATCACACGATGCAACCAAATAAAAAAATCTAATTACGAAAATGACCAGTACAATATAATCTTGTATTGCTCATAGATGTGAGAAATTGTTTTACACGTTAAGAGTGCAAAATAAAAACTACTAGATGAGAAAACAAATTTTTGTGTTGTGTGTTGAGAGTTTGAGTTTTAATATTGAAGATTTTCAATTTGAATTAAAAAATTTTAAAAATTTATTTTTATTATATAATTTATCATTTGATATAAAAAAAAGTAATTAACAGTAATTAACTTAGCCCATCAAGTAGTTTAAATTTATAGTTGAAATTATACAAATCTATACAACATTTGATCTTTCAGATGAATATGATATTAAAAGTAAAATATTGTAAGTGTTATAAATTAATTCATCGTGAATATTTTAACTTTTTTTCATCCTCTCACTTCTCCATTTACTATAACATTTATAAAACAAATAATAATATAACTTTTATTATTTTCATATAATTATAATGGTGATTAACATTCCATAATATCATGCATGCATTGAGATGCTAACAATAAGATTTATTGTAATCGCTAAAAAGTAATCCTTTTAATCTTTCATTTAGTAAGTGTTAATTCTTCATAAATTCTATTTCTTATTAGTTTCTATATATGAAGCTCATACTCTCACAAATATATAGAAATGTATAAAAAACAAATGAAAAAGAAAAATATAAAAATATATTATATTTTTGTATTATCTCACTTTATTTATGTAATTTTTTTTATTCTAATTGATTTTTTTTATTTTACAACAGTAACATATTATTTTCATTTTTTTTAA